ACCTCAGCCTCCCAAAGGCATGGGATTACAGGCTGAGCCACCGAGCCCGGCTTACTTTATTTCTTTATCTATGTTGAAATTTATGAGCTCACACCAGTACCTCCTATTCAAACCCAACACCAGATGCAAACATGAGAAAGTTGGCTTCTATTTCCCTTAATATTTTTGCTTCTACTAACCAGGCCCCCTCTTCTTAATTTATCTGCCGTTGCCATCCATTTTCCTGGCATGGGTGCCCTCCCCACCCTGCTTAGGATCTGACTCCCTGCACCAGGCCACAGGTCCCACGTGGATTCCCCCTACCTTCCCACTCACCCGCAAAGCCACATGAATGCCTGGCTTGGTCTGCCTTACCTATGGCTGGATTGTGGGTAAAGGAAAAAGAGAAGGGAAAGGAAAGTCTAATGTTTTGTTGGAATTTTATGTAAACTCCACAAAGGAAGAGATCTTCTGATTTACACGGAAATCAAGAATCTAAAACAGACCCTGGCATATAGTAGGCATTCAATTAAAAAACGCTTTGAAGAATCTATTTTTTGAAACTGTAAAGTGTACAGTTCATTTAAATTCTTTATATTCAAATGTTTAACTTCAAGATATTCTCCCACCAGTACAACCTTTGATAAACTGGAAAATTATCAACTACAAGCCAGTTAAAATCTAAATCTCAATGTAGTATCTAGAATAAATAATTCTGACAACTTTAAAATTTTAAAAAATCTAAATCACTAGGCCATATAAACTTTACTTTAAATTTGGATTTATGGGCATGGATAGTCTTACATAACTAAAAACCTTTATTTTACCAGTCTACATGAAAATCATCAAGACTGGTACCAATTTAATAAAACAGAAAGGGTATTACTTTCTAACAATATTCTTTTTTTTTTTTTGAGTTGGAGTCTGTTGCTCAGGCTGGAATAGATACTGCTATGATTTAAATGCTTATGTCCCTTCAAAAATTCTTGTTGAAAATTAACCCGTAATACAACAATATAAGAGTCAGGGCCTTTAGGAAGTGATTAGGCTCTGTCCTCAGCAATGGAAGTAGTGTCTTATAAAAGGGCTGGAGACAACTAGCTTTTGCCCTTCCTCTCTTCCACCATATAAGGACATAGTACTCATTCCCTTTGCATCCTCTAGAGGTAACAAGGCACTATCTTGGAAACAGACATTGGGCCCTTACCAGACAACAAACCTGTTGGTGCCTTGATTTGGGACTCCCAGCCTTGATCACTGCAAGCAATCAACTTATGCTGTTTATAAATTACCCAGTCTGTGGTATTTTGTTGCATTGATAGGAATGGACTGAGATAGAAATTGGTACCAGGAGTGGGGTGTTGCTAATTGGTACCAGGAGTGGGGTGTTGCTGTAACAATTACTGATGTGGAAGTGGCTTTAGCACTGGATAACAGGTAGAGGATTGATGGCAAAAGGCTATTCTGGTAAGGGCTCAGAAGAAAAGGAGAGCTATGAAAATGGACTAATCATAGATTGCTTAAGTGTTCATGATCAGAATGCTGATAGAAATATGGACTGTAAAGGCAATTCTGTTCTGATGAGGTCTCAGACAGCAATGAGGAACAAGGTATTGAGAACTAGAGGTAAGGCCATCCTTATTATAAAGTGGCAATGAACTTGAATTGTGTCCATGTCTTAGTGCTTTGTGGAAGGAAGAACTTGAAAGCAAATTTGGTGGAAAAAATCTTCAAGTGTTGAGGGTGCAGTGCGGTTCTCTTGTTTATAATAAAATGCAAGAAGAAATGTATTAAAGATGGAATTTATAATCAAAAGATTATATAAAGATTTGGAAAATTCTCAGCCTGGCCAGGTTGTAAAGAATAAAAAGACTGGGTGTGGTGGCTCACACTTGTAATCCCAGCACTTTGGGAGGCAGAGGCAGGAGGATTGCCTGAGCCCACGGGTTCGAGACCAGCCTGGGCAACTTGGCAAGACCTCATCTCTACAATAAATAAAAAATTAGCCAGGTGTGGTGGCGCACACCTGTAGTTCCAGCTACTTGGAAGACTGAGGAAGGATCCCCTGAGCCCAGCATGTTGGGGCTGCAGTGGCTGTCATGCCACTGTACTCCAGCCTGGGCGACAGAGAGACTCCAACTCAAAAATTTAAAAAGACACATACGGAAAAGAAAACCAAGGGTATGGCCAATTGAACATTTGAAGTATGAATATAAAAAAGATAGATGCTGCCGGGCTCGGTGGCTCAGCCTGTAATCCCGTTCCTTGGGAGGCTGAGGTGAGTGGATTGCCTGAGCCCGCGGGTTCGAGACCCGCCTGGGCAGCAAGACCTCATCTCTACAATAAATCAAAAAAAGTAGCCGGGTGTGGTGGCACACCCCTGTGGTTCCAGCTACTTGGAAAACTGAGGCAGAAGGATCAACTGAGCCTAGCAGGTCGAAGTTGTAGTGGCCATGAGCGTGCTACTGCACTCCAGCCTGGGTGACAGAGTGAGACTCCAACTCAAAAAAAAAGCTAGATGCTGCTCATCAAGACAATGGAAGAAAGCATTTCAGAGATCTTTGAGGCAGCCACTTCCATCAGAGGCCCAGAGCTCCAGGGTCTAGAAAGCAGAATGGTTTCAAAGAAGTCTAGTGCACTGGGGGGCCTCGGGGTTTGCTGTCCAGGGCCACCTCACATGTCTGTCCCCTGCATTCTGATGTAGCACTCCTTAACCACTCCAGCTGTGGCCCCAAAGTAGGTCCAGGCATGGCTCAAGCTGCCACTCCAGAGGACACAAGTGATAAACCTTGGCAGGTGGACAGAGTGCACAGAGAGCCGCAGGTCTCGGACAGAGAACTGCCACAGGGGCAGTGCTGCTGAAGAGTCCCCACTAGGACAATGCCTAGCGGAGCTGTGGGAGCAGAGCAGCTTCAACACCCCAGAAATGTAGAGCCACTGATGTGCAACTCTAGCCTGGGAGAGTTGCAGACATGAGCACCAATCTGAGAGCTGCCACGTGGGCTGTACTCAGCAAAGCCTCAGGGGTCCAACTCCCACCCCATGTGTCCAGAAAATGAGACATGGAGTCAAAGATTATTCTAGAGCTTTGAGATTTAATGTTTGCCCTGTTGGGTTTTAGAGTTGGTTGGGATGTGTTACTCCTTTCTTCTTTCCTATTTCTTCCTTTTGGAATGGGAATGTCTAGCCTATGCCTGTCCCACCATTGTATAAGGGGAGACCCCCAAAAGCCCAGAATAATCTTTTGGAGGGTGGGCCTCGTGTAGAAGAGTTCCCTCCAGCTAGGTAAATATTCTAGGAACCCACTGGCATCAGTGTAATAGCTAGTGTTGTTGTGACAGCCTGAGTTCAGCTTCAGTGAGTTTTTTATTATTTTTGTGGCAATTCTCTCAATGCGTTTGTCCATTTCATAATGGGTGATTTGTGAGCGCATCTGCCCACACCCCCATGTCCCACCCTCCCTATTCACCCCATCTCATCCCAAGCGACTTCCCTCCCCCCATCCCAATGAAAGAAGTCCTCAAAGGGAAGTGTTTTGCCAATGTGGAAGAGATGAAACCAAACAAACAAAAAAAAAAGGCAGAAGCACTAAAAGGCATCAAAATTGACGAGCTCAAAAACTGCTTTGAGCAGTGGAAAAAGCATCTTGTTAGGTGTATTGCATCAAACAGTGAGCACTTTAAGGTGACTAAACTTTAAACACATAAGAATACTCAATTTTTTTTTTTTTTTGAGTTGGAGTCTCACTCCATCACCCAGACTAGAGTGCAATGGCTGCTCCTGGCCACCGCAGCCTTGATCTGCTGGGCTTTGGCGATCCTTCCGCCTCAGCCTTCCAAGTAGCTGGAAGTACAGGTGCATGCTACCACACCCGGCTAATTCTTTATTTATTATAGAGATGAGGTCTCGCCAAGTTGCCCAGGTGGGTCTCGAACCTGCCGGCTCAGGCAATTCACTCACCTCAGCCTCCCAAAGCGCAGGATTACAGGCTGAGCCACTGAGCCCGGCTAATTTCTTAAATAAATAAATTGATCACCCCATATTTTATAAGTACATAACTTTGGGAGGGCCAGGAGTGAAATACTATAATCTGAATGTCTGTCTCCCTACAAATCCATCTGTTTAAACATAATTGCCAAAGTAACTTAATAATATTAAGAGGTAGGAGTCTTTAGGAGGTGATTAAGTCTTGAGGGGTCTGCCATCACAAATGGGATGAATGCCCTTATAAAAGGGCTAGAGGGAATCAGCTTGGTCCTTTTTGCCCTCTGCCTTCTGCTATGTGAGGACCACAAAAAGAGGTGCTATCTTGGAAGTAGAGAGCAGCCCTCTTCAGAGGCTGAACCTGCTGACACCTTGATCTTGGATTTCCCAGTCTCCCGAGCTCTAAGGATATACATTTGTTCTTTATAAATTACTCAGTCTCAGGATTTTGTTAGAGCAGCAGAAATGGACCAAGACACTGTTTCATCAGAAGACACTGAGACAACTTCAGAGGTAGATCAGGTGTTGGGTGGAGGCTGAAACTTACATAACTTTGGGGGCATTCTTTAGGAATTAGGTATAGGGTCTTATCGAGGAACTATGTAAACGAGGAGCTCTGAAGCTTAAGCAGCAAGCTTGTTTCTTGAAGGAAGTTAAGAGTGAAAGTGGCAAGGCCCAATGCTTGGCTTTATGGCAGGCATACAAAACTTTACTGAAGAACTCTCTATCTAGCTACAATGATCTGAGTATGTGTTAGGTCCTCAACAAACCTGTATTAAATATTGCTGACCTACAACTAGTTCCACTCTAGAAAACAAGTTCTTATGAAGTTTTGCTGTTTAGCCAAGAACGACACACACTGCCAACAAGGTCTTACCATTTTAATTGATTTTAATGATTATTGCTCATCTGCAAAGATTAATATTGCATTCATTAAAAATCATTCAATACAAAATGAACTTGTTCCTCTCAAGTTGCTCTCCACATGCTCCCTCTGATGCCAGATATTTTTTTACAGTGTCCTTTGTTACATGGCTTGACAGAGATGGAGCCCTTACCTATTATTCCTATGGACACAGTAATAGATATGGGATCAGGGCAGAGGGTGGCAGAACCTGGGCCCCTTCCCTCCTGCAGAGCTGACGTGATGGGCACGCTGGTGGCCAGGTTACCTCTGCTATCAAATGTGGTGCTCTAATTGGTTGGCTAAGTGCCCCAGGAAAAAGGGCTTTAACTGTTAGCATCTACAGAGAAGGAAGCATGGTCACACCGGCAAGGAGTGGGAAAGAACTCCAGGGGGGAGAACTGGGAGAGGAAAGGGGAAAAAGTTTTGGCAAGACCATTGCCCCTGCTAGAAAGCTGCAGGGTGAAAGCTTTCCTTTCTTATATTTCTGTTTTTAATGTCTGTCTCTCTGAACAGTGGAAAGAGAGAAATGAAAATTTCTAGTATCTAGCACTAATGTGTGACCCGACTTTGAAGGATCACAAGCTAGAACAAGTTGAGGATTTCAATCCTGGGTCATTATATACTTAAAGCTCATGAGCATAAAGCTCATGTGACCATGCAGAAGTGCTGAAAAGCAGGGTGCATGGCAGGGGAATACATTTCTCTGGTCTTGGAGAGAGCCTCTCAGGGGACTCTTTCAGCGACTGAGCCAGGATGGACACTTCCTATATGCATAAACTGCCCTTTAAGATCTCAGTTCATATACTTTTTGTGGTGGCAATCAAAAGTGGTATCACTTTCATAAAATTAACATTACACAGGGCCTGGAGTCCCAGACAAATTATATGGAGCTAGATTTCTCTCACCCTGGCCCAATTTATAATTCCTCCTCCCATCCATACCTACCTCCCTTTAAATATTTTAGGTTGCAGAAGCACAGCTGACCAGCAATTTGCTCTTAAAGGATAAATCCTAAAGATAAAGCTCAGTGCTTTATATTGAGTAAAGGCTCAAGAAATTCGCCTTCAGCACAAGCTGTAAGGGACAGAGCTGAGAGAATTTGCTGTTATGGCTCCAGTTCATTGATGCTATAAACTATGGGCTAGAAACAGAGGGATTTATCAGAGTTTGAGACTGGTGTTTCACTAGACTCAACTCGGCACCCTTAAGCTTCAAAGGTTCAAGAGAGAAATTGGTAACAACAGATCACCCAAGCAATTCCTCGTGTTAACACTAAAAATGTTCCTTTTGTGTGTGTGTGTAACAGAAATAAATGCTAGGGGACAAAATTCAACTTAACAGTGCAGTCTAGTTAAGAACTAGAAAAATGAGAGTCCGGTGGGAGTGGAGGAATGGCTGTACTTTAAGTTCATGTGGGCCTCCTGGGTCTTAATGAGCGACACTCACGAGTACACATCTCTGAACCAGACATACCACCTGAAACACCACAAGGAATCAGAGCTTGGAACTTCAAAGGGAAATGAACATGCACCACCTACATCTAACCATCCCTGCTCCTCTGAAGAAGTGAAAGAGCACTGATTTCAGCAGCTAAGAAATGGGCTCTTTTAAGGCGATTTAGACATTGCAGATTGTTCCACACAGAAGGTACCTAAGCATTTCCTGTTAACAAGGTACCTAATTAAGACTAAAGTTCCCAGAAATGATAAGAAAGAATCACCTTTCTGGGCTAGGAGAGTAAAATCCTTCTTCAGTGACTAGGGTGAGGAACCCTGAACTTCAGTTTCATCTAAAGAGCCATGAAGCAAGTTCCTGTGTGGTCTGCAGAACTTGGATAATGAGATGAAAAAAACAAGAAGGAAATTACAGAAAAGGAAAAATCAAGAGGAAAGGAATAAGAAGAAAATAAGAGTCATCTTAAAAAATATTTCTTGGAGAGTTGTATGGTTCGCGCGGACTGGTCCTTGGTAACATGGTCCATTAGTATCTGTAAAGAGAGAGACTGGCTGGTTAACACCTAGGCCTTCCGTACAAGAGTTCCAAGAGAAGAAAACTGCCTCTTCTCCAGGGTGCTTCCTGGGCCCAGACTGGGGACCCCTGCAGTCATTCCCCAGGGCATCATTCTTCTCTGTTTTTCCACAGAGCTTCTCACAATGCCATTTCTGGTGTTACCTCCTGCTCCCAGAGAACGTAAGTCAGTGATTTCCAACCCTGACTATACAGTCTGGGGGTGAAGCCCAAGTACCAAAATTCTAAAAAGCTCTAATTTCTCTTCATCTGCCACCAAATAAACAACTTTTCTGCCTACCCTGTTAATTTGGAGCAGAGGTGTTGTAGCCTTCTAAATTAGGTAGCATATCAGATCTTTACTTCAGAAAGCTGGTTAGCACACTTGGCTTAACACCGGGAAAAGAGCTTTCATTTGCTTCCCTCAAGTTACCTGTAATAATTGGGTTTGAATGGCCCATTTTTGTTGAGTCCCAGATATTTTGCTTGGTCATCTGTCAGCTCTGTCAGGTGGGCATCAAACGATGGTAGGTGCAAGCTGGCGACGTACTCATCTAGGAAGAGCAAAGGTGGGAGGGGCAGACTCCTTTTCAAATATGCCTCACAGTGCATAACCTCCCCCTATTTTCATTTGAAAATTTTTGAGAAAGAGGATAAGAGATGGAATAACTTTGAAAGAATTCACAACTTGAAATATTGCTTAATAAAAAACCCCTCAAAGTTGCCTTTCTGGCAGGGTCCTTCTCTCAGCACATCCCAAGCTGTTGTGACAAAATAGGATGAGCTGATGCATCCCTATTCTCTGGCAAGGCTGCTGGCTTCATCTCAAGGGCCAACATTGACAGGACTAACCTGTAGTCAAATTATGAGTCAAAGTCGACAGAGGACGCTCCCAAGAGCCTGTGTTATTAACACTTAATGTAGGATGAGATCCATACAAGTCTCCATCTTGGGATCATGGATTGCTAAGGTAGTTGGCACAAATTTATGACTATTTCACAGATAAGCTTCCCTAACTTTTATGCTTATGATTTTTTTAAAAAACCAATCTGAAGTAAGCTATTGGAAGGGATGAAAGCAAGAAGATTTTTAGTTTTAGTTTTAAGAGGTCAGGGATTTGGGCTGGTCAAGGAGAGGTGGGAGGTGGGTGTCACTGAGAGGAAAAGGGAAGGACTAGAGATGATGCATTATGTCACATGAACACAACACAGATGGCCCTCCAGAGTCACAGGAGGTCAGGTAGGAGGCCATGTACAAATCCTCAAGGACGATGGACAATAAAACCTGTATATGATTCTGTTTCTTTCACTTGGCCCAAGGCTGCACTTAGTTGTATGTGAAGTTTACGGAACTTCCCAAGGCTAGTTAGAATAAGAACTTCACCCCAAACCACTGTGCTAATTCCCCCTACAATTCTGCAATGTTTGCAGTACTACTCTCACTTTACTTATCAAGAAATTGAGGCTCATGGAGATACAAGCTAACTTAACGTCAAACAATTGGTAAGCATGAGAATGGGAATTAGAGCTCTGACTCTTAATCTAATGCCTTTTTTTTTTTTGAGTTGGAGTCTCACGCTGTCACCCAGGCTGGAGTGCAGTGGCAAGCTCATGGCCACCACCAGCCACAACCTACTGGGCTCAGGCAATCCTTTCACCTCAGCCTTCCAAGTAGCTTGAACCACAGGTGTGCACCACCACACCTGGCTAATTTTTTTATTTATTGTAGAGATGAGGTCTCGCCAAGTTGTCCAGGCAAGTCTTAAACCCCTGGGCTCAGGGAATCCTCTTGCTTCCACCTTGCAAAGTGCTGGGATTATAGGCATGAACTACCATGCTCGGCCTCCAGTGCCTTTCAATGATAGCCATTTGACCAAACCACGCAACTGTTGGGGACCAACATAGGTTAAGGACCAACATGGGTTCCCACTGTTTTGCACTCACCCATTTTCTTAGGAAGCAAGTACACATCCTGTTTGTATCGTCCCTCAGGTGCATTGTAGAGTTCTATCAGTGCCAAAGCCTGAGGTGGGAAAAGAGGACCCGGTAACATGAAACACTCCTTAGGCAGGGACATAAAAGAAGACCCGGCATAACCGGGTTTTGGGTAAGTGCTACAGTGATCTACCATAGTGACAGCACCTAGGACTTTGCCTGTAGTAAAGGCCAGCATACCTCCTGAGAGGATTTGCTGGTCTTTTAGTTTTTGACAAAAGAACAAACTAAATACAACTAAGCTGGAACATTGTATTTTCAACTAAAACAGCCAGCTCGAGAGACACAAACACTGACTAGTGACTCTTGAAAAAGCCTAAGTCTCAACAATTTATTAATGAAAAAACAAGTTGATGAGAATGCAGTCTGACACACTCTCACTGGAACGGGTCTATACCCAGTTCCACAAGTCACAGAGCAGGAGAAACAGGCATCTTGCCACATACCTGTGTTGTCGCTGTGATGGACAGAACAAAGGTGGGAACTGTGGAGCAGCTCAAATTGAGCAGACGACCCTGGAAAGGGAGGAGAGAGCCCTGGCATGAGCTACGATCCCTGTCTCAGATCCCAGCAGCACCCGAGTCAAGCCAATGCAAGAACTTTGTCGCCTCTAGACTGAGTTGGAGGGGAAAGAATGAAAGTTCCAGATCAGGACTCTAGGTTTAATCTTATTTTCTAATTTTACCCTATTATCCTCAAATCCATCTGAGTCTGAAAGGCTGAAGAATCAGCTATGGTCAGGAAATAGGATGTTACTTAGTAAAAAGCAAATTTTTTTTTTTTAGTGATTTTGCTTTGGGGAGCAGACCATTTGACAAATATACGTCCATCCATAGACAGAGTCTGGGGAAACAGGGGCCCAATGTTTTTTCCTGCCTCCCCTGCCCACCACAGGTCTGATTGCTCTGTTGTGCTGCTCAGCAGAGTCCCTCTGTGTGTACCTCTGCCAGGAGGACAACTCGCTTGCCATCTGGCCAGATGACATGGTCCACCTGAGAACGCACTCGCTCCCACGTCAGCTCTGGAGTGCGGAGGCTGGTCTGAAAGGAGGAAAGCACAGCTGACTGTGGCCATACTGGCAGTCAGTGGAGAAGCGCCTAGAACCAACGAGAGAAGCCTCACCACGTCGATTTCGGTGTTGGAGTGGCCCATATTGCACACGATACAACTGTTTTTCATACGGTCCAAGTGCTCCCGTGTCACTACATTCTTATTTCCTAAAAGTAAAGGTGGGTGGCTGAGGAAAGAGAGCAGGCAACAAAGGTACTGCCTGGCTTTTAGTGACAACATGGGTGAGAGGAGGTTTGCTGGCATTAAAGTGAGAAAGAAGGTGGTAATAGCTCCTCAGGCTATTGGGTTTTAAGATCAAACAATATAAAAAGTCACTAGGGAAAAAGGGTCTTTACTCTGGAAAACACGTTATGGTTCTGACAGCTCCTTCTAGTTCAGAGACCTTTATACTGAGCACAGGTCTCACCTACTTTGTATGAAAGTCAGTCAGATCACTTTCAAGATCTAGCCTCTGAGTTAACACTCTTTCAGGCACACCAAAGCACTGATACTTACCTGTGCAAGTTATTACGACATCAACTTGCCGGATGACTTCATTGAGTTTTACCACCCTGAACCCATCCATGCTGGAAGAAAAGAATAGACCCTATGAGTAAAGGAAGGAGGCGGGGGAGGGAAGCCGGCCACAAAATGAGAACAAGACCCCCTCCTACAGAGTCAGATTCAGTGCCACCTCACAGGGCTGGTACGTGATGGGCTATTCTTGGCTATATAAACTGGCCTCTTCAGGGCTCCAAAACTGCATGCAGGAAGAGCAAATGCCAAGAGGCCTCAGGAAAACCTCAGGGTCAGAGTGAGGGGAACAGAGCAACCCTAGCCTTCTCTTCCCCCAGGAGATTTCTGCAAAACTGATTAATATAATCAATCCCAAGCTCTCAGAAACATAAGGTTCCCGGAGTGAATCTAATGATATTACACTCTGTCCTTACCAGGCCTGCAGAGCACAGATGGGGTCAATTTCTGTGATATAGACAATTGCTCCAAGGGCTTTGAGAGCAGCACAGCAGCCCTTTCCTACCTGCAGAACATAAGAAAGGTCAGGTTGTCAGACTCATTAAAGCACAGATGTTGGGGTAGGCAGGTTCTTTATGAGACAGGAATTAACCTTCATAAAGTCACATGAGCACCTGCAAGGATGCTCCAGTCCCAAGCAGAGCAGAAATAGACTCGGATTATGTTGTGAACCTCAGTTAGAGAAGTAATTTAGCAGACATGTCCTAGCAAGTACTGGGGCTTTAGATAAAAGCATTATCATTAGGGAAACAAGATCAAGCAAGAACAACTTGCTCTTAGCAACCTCTAATTTCTTATTTCAGAAAAATGCAGTAACTCTCACTTGAGACACCTACTCAAGGACAGCCTAGCAGCTCAGGAACTTCTGTGGTCATTGTTGAAGATGATAAAATCTCCTGGGACCTATTCCAGTTTGGAGATATTCAATCATATGTAACTTTAGATTTCATCCTTCCTTCTACTGCAAGTGACTTGTGGGGCTAAAATGCTATGTATCCACTTGAATGAAGTCTTGTTAAAGGGTATTGTTATAATTGGGGGAAAATAATGTTGATGTTCCATTTCACAAGACAAGCGAGTAATATGTGAAATTTCATTCTATATGTCTCTATTCATATATCTGAATAAAGATCTTTGCTACTGTTTCAAAATACATCATCCAAAAAGATGTTAAACCTTGCGTCAGTGACTCTAGACTGATAGCACAAGCCTCCTTCACCCAATATTTCTAATAAGTCTATGAAAAGAAAGAGACCTTGAGCCCAGCTATTTACCTCACCATAGCCACACACCACCACTTGTTTCCCACCAAACATCACATCTGTGGTCCTCTTCAGGCTGTGGAAACAGACAAGGGCTCAACTCAAACATTATTAGCTCAAACTTAGTTCCTCTGCACAAGGTTAAAAAAGTGGGGGCAATGCCCACGAGAACTTCAACTGGAAGCTGACTGAGCTTACTGTGAAATGGCAAACTCTCACAAACTTTTTTTTTTTGAGTCAGAGTCTCTGTCGCCCAGACTGGAGTACCTCTTCGCTTGACCTCCTGAGCTCAGGTGACCCTTTTGCCTCAGGCTCCCAAGTAGCTGGGACTACAGGCATGTGCTGATTTTTTGTAGAAATGAAGTTGCCCAGACTGGTTTCAAACTTCTGGGCTCCAGCAATTCTCCCACTTCGACCTCCCAAAGTGCTGGGATTACAGACATAAGCCACGGCACCCGGCTCTCTAACATACTTTTAAAGCCAAAGGAAGACTGGAGGGCAAGACTGGAGTGATATCAAACTAACACTATAACCCAACACAAATCTACCTCCTTGAAGTTTGTATATACGCTTCAACCTACCCATCCAAAATGGATTCTCGGCAGCAGTACAAGTTATCAAACTTCTGTTTGGTAACAGAATCATTGACATTCATGGCCGGAACACAGAGCTTCCCAGCTTTGGAGAGCTGATATAGCCTAAAGGGAGAAGAGGTCACAAAAACAAACAAAAACCAAGTTAGCTGGTAAAGCACAACACGCGGCAAAATCTGCCTAGTTCTTTTCCAGTCCCACGCTGCCCTCCCCAGTCTGACTTGTCGCCCAAGGATGTTCGTAGCACGATTACTTCCTTGTCACCCTTCCTCACTTTTCATTTTCTTCTCCTCCTACCATTTTTTTTTTGAAAAAAAAAAAAACAAAAGCCCTTTCAATTGAAGAAATTTACTTCTCTTCCATAAAGGAGATGTTATTTCCTCAGACCAGCATTTCTCAATGTTTAAAAACCCAAGTCTACTTCTGATAAACGAAGATTATCCGCGATTCTGACACTGTTCCCTGCGTGTGTGCCCATAAGCATGTCCAATGTGCCCCCGACTGAGAAACGCTCTTGCAGATGTCTTTCGGGTATTCCAACAAGCCGAGAATATTCTGCCCAGTTTTACTTTTTGTCGTGTATACAACCTGTAGTTTTACAATAGGATTGTTTTTCATATTTCAATATAAAATTGTAATACAATATTGAATACAGTTTTTCAAGATGTGCTCACTCTCTACCCCACCCTCAAACACTAGTTGAGACTCACTCAGTGGGGCCAATGGGAGAGAAACATGTGTGAACTAGAAGCTGAAATAACTCGTTCTAGGGGTAACCTGGCTTTTTAAAAGGAAAAACTCCAAAGTTTTATCTCATGAAGATACTCCCATTTGGTGACTACAAGTCTGAAACACAGCCCTAAAAGCCAACCGGAGACCAGAAGAGTTTGCTGAGGCAAGGACGCAAGGGGCAGCTGCTCCGGAATCTGTTACCTGTGAACACCAGTCACGCTCTCTTCCACAATGCCTCGGATCTTCTTAAACACGTTTGGATACTTCTTATAAACCCAGTGGGTTAAGTCTCCCCCATCATCCAGGATCTACAGAACAGCCAGAAGACTTCTATGGGCATTCAGGCTGCTAGAGCTAGGGGGAACTTTGAACCCACTTTCTGCACTACTAAGAGAGCCCTATATGTTTTGGAAGAGCACTCCTTAGAGCTCCTAAGAGCAGGCTTGGACAGTAGAAATACAGTCAAATTTGTTGGCAAAAAATGGCTAAAAGGATTCCTAGGTTTGTTTTAGGCTACAGTGAAAAGTATTAGACTAATCACAGACTCTTCGGAGTCTTGAAATATATATAGAGCCCTTCTGAATGCAAAAGGAGAGCTAGGGCAGGAAGGAAAGAAACCAGAATCCTACTCCAAAGAGGTCCACATCATTTTGTTCTGCTGTGTTTGAGCCACATGTGTTCAGCTCGTCTCACCCTTCCCCCACCTTTCAGTCAGTACTCAGGCCCATTCTAAGTAAGTATCAAGCTAACCACTTTAGCAACGAAGTCAGTGCATAAGACCAAACATCCAAAACATATTTAGGGAACCATGCTTTGAGGGAAAAAAAGGAAATAAATCTACTGTCAAAGTGTAGGATGGATATGCATCATTACCATGTTGGCCTGCCACCCATCCATGTTCACACAGCGGTCAATACACCACCAGAAGTCATCTTCTGACTCGCCCTTCCATGCGAACACTGCAACTCCTGCAGAGACAGAAATAAATCATGATGCTGCTTTCTCCTTTGAGGAGTGTCCTATGCCAACACCACTTTCTGAGATCCATGTAAGAGAAAAAGGCAAAAGATGCTATCCTAGGAAGAAAAAACTTAGAGCAAAACAGTACTTCTAGTTCATAAGTTACTTTAAGAAATTAAGGGAACTTTGTTTTTTAAAAAGCATTCTGAAACCTTAAAATGTTTTCTTTGGGCCAATTTTTTACTTAGATCTCGATCTCAAGGCTTTAAAATGAAGTGGGGATGAATACAAAGTTGTTCACTGGAGCATTACTTATATTAGTAAACATCTTGAAATAACCTAAGTGTTTACTATTAGGAAAATAATAAAGCAAAATCACATAACCATATGAATGAGTGTTACAAATAATGCTATCATCAGTAGTTTTCAGAGACCTGGAAAACTACTTCTGAAAATGTTATGTTTAGGTTATAAAACTGTATATATACTAAGATTTATTTCATCACTGTAGATAGAAAAAAAGGAAAAAACTGTTAAACATTTTCTCTATATACAGTGGGATTGTGGATATTTTGGAAACTTCCTAAATCTTTTTTTTTGAGTTGGAGTCTCACTCTTGTAGCCCAGGCTGGATTGCAAGTGGCTCACTCATGACCACCACAGCCTCGACCTGCTGGCTCAGATGATCCTTCCACCTTAGCCTTCCAAGTAGCTGGAACTACAGGCATGTGCCACCACGCCCAGCTAATTTTTTGATTTACTGGCTAATTTTTAAATTTATTTTTCGATTTATTAGTTGTAGATGAGGTCTCGCCATGTTACCCAGGCTGTTCTCAAACCCATGGAGTCAGACAAACCTCTCACCTCGGCCTCCCAAAGTGCTGGGATTATAGGCGTTAGCCACAGTGCCTGGCTTTTTTTTTTTTTTTTTTTTTTGGTAAACAATTATTAGAAAAGAATAAACAAAAAAACCTTAGAGTATTATAAAGTTGCTTTCTGAGGAGACTAGGAAGATAAGAAATCCTCAAAGAAACTTCATGGTGATTTTCTTCTGAACATTTTAACAATAAAAATTATTTTATGTTTAGTTAAACTCACCAGCAGCCCATGTATTTTCAATGCCATATTGAATACCAAATTATTTAATAAATTAGCAATATAAAAAGCACTTCTTGTGCTCTCTCTGAAAAATTGGTGAGACTTTTGGTGAGAGAAGCTAAGTACACACTTGTATAGCTAAAATAGTTTAACATTCCTCCTCATTTATGTAGCATTAGAGCCGGGCATTTCCCCATGTCACTGGAGTCTTTGCAAAGATCATTTTTAATGACCATACAATATCTACCATGGATGTAGACTTTAATTTTAATTATCCATCTTCTTCCTGTTGATGTTTTTACCATCCCCCCATATTTTACAGCCCCTAGACACGCATGACATTATAATGACAATTGTAATGACAATTTTGATACATAAAAGTTATGTTTAGATAACTATTTTGGGGCAAAATTGGTGAAAAAAGCTGATCATACCAGCCTCGGCCAGTGCTGCGGCCACTTCATTCTGAGTTGAGTAGATGTTGCAGGCAGACCAGCGGCACTGAGCCCCCAGGGCACAGAGGGTCTCGATTAACACCTGTATGGATGTACAGGAGGGCAGGGTGAGGAAGGGGAGGGCCGCCCAGGAGTGGGGAGCAAACCTCAGTAACAAAATAATACCTATCCACCCTGCAGCAACAGGCACTACATTGGGGAGCTACAAAAGGGTGTAATCCAGGAAGGTGGTATATTATTATTTAACTTTACCCAAAAGATAGGTTCCTAAAAGTCTAAACATTTTATAACAAACATATTAATGCAAATTTAGCTCTTCCTAGGCCATGTTTGCTAAAATTGGGTTTAGTTATACAAGCAAAAGTAGAAAACCCCATTATTGTGTAACAGGGAGATCTCACCTAATAGTTAGCATTTGGAGTTTGGTTAAATAGGAAAGGAAAAGCCAAAAAAAAAAAAAAATTTCTTTCTTTCTTTTCTTTGTCAGAAGTCCCTCTCTTTTCTTCCAACAAACTCACCGCTGTCTGGGCCGTGATGTGTGTACAGCCCACTATTTTAGCACCAGCCAAGGGTTTCTCCCCCTGAGCACGTTTCCTGAGTGAAATCAGAGCAGACATGTCTGTGAAAGAACAGAGGATTTGAGCTAGGTCTGCACTAGCAATATCATCAGTTCCTATCCCAGCAGCAGCTAGGCTGGTCTGGATCTGTTGAGATACGGTGAGATGAAGCAGAAAAAATATAAGTGCATTTGCATGATGATTGGCAGATTTAACAGCACAGTAACAGTGGAGAATTGTCACATAACCACTTGGAGTTTCTCTCTTCCTCTATTGCTTTAGTTTTATATGCAGATAGAACAGAGAATGAAGTAAATTCTGACAACTGATCAAAATGGAGGGTGAGTCTCATTCATTTGGGAAGAGAGGGAAGTAGTTTTGGCATTGGCTATAGACTCCTATCTATAAGTATCAGACCAGGAAGACTCTACCTCTGTGAAACCCACTAGCTTCCGTTTTCTATGCTGTTTTAGCTTATCCTGTCTGTTTGGTTTCTATATTTCCCCTCAGTATAGAATGTGTCTTCTGTGAGAAACAACAAAGCATAAAGATGACCTTATTGGGAGTGGAGTGGGGTGGGGTGGGGTGGAGCAACCAGAATTTAACTGATTGTCAGTCACTGTTACTCTGTTCCAGCAGAGGGTGCTCAGACCCAAACAAGACCATGAGTCACTACATCCTCAGCTTAAGCCCTCCTCCATCAGCAGCTTCTGGGAAATCTGGGTCTCTGCGACTGGCAGCTACAGTAAGATCCCACATAACAAACCACCATGAAGTGAGCCTGGACTTGCTGACTCTGCAATGAGGATCTTTGAATATGGTGTCAGGGGAGCAAAACAGAAACTACCCTGTGTGTAATTACCACATGCTGAGAATAGGAAGAAGGGAGAACAAGAACAAGAATACTGAGACTCAAGCTCCTTACTGAGAGAAGTGTTTATCCAAAAGTCCAGGGTACTGTCTCTTCCCAGGACACTTCCAAGTCACCTTCAAGCCTTAAGTTGTTTGTTTCTGGTCCTCTACCCACTCCCTTTCTTTACCTTGCTCTGCAATCTCAATTTCTCGGCGTCCAAATTCTGCTTGCTTGATGTTCTTCACACAAAAATTGCTGCTGCCCTTGGAGTTGGTTTGCTGCTTCTCGCGGGGCGAAACCTCATCATCAGAGCTATCTGTGTAGGACGCAGCTAGAGCCAGGAAAGAAACATGGACAGAAAAGCCTCAATGGCCCCAACTCCACAGAGTGTGGCCCCCAGGGAACTCTCATTTAAGTTAAGCGAACACTCTTAACTGGAGCTGCCTTTGACATCACTCTCAGTTCTATGCCTCCAGGGTCTAATAGATGGTATGAATGAAACTGCTGTGGATCTTCCAGTGTTGCAGCTCTTTGGCCCACCCAAATGATACTATGCCCTCAGTGCCTGTCATAAGGAGCCACTAATCCTAACCCTGCTCCAACTGTGGTAATCCCAGATAACAGAGGCACTTGGTCCCAATCTAAACCGAAACCAGACCTAACAAAAATGGAAGAATAACATAGGGTGGATAGGAATGCCATTTCTATAGATCACTGGTTCTCAAACTCAAGTATCTAAAGCATCTATCAGAATCACATGAAAGGTTTATTAAAACAGATTGCTAGACCCCCCTGGTCAAAGTTTCCCATTTGGTAGGTCTCAGGTAGTGCCCAATAATTAGTATTTCTAACAAATTCCCAGGAGTTACTGATGCTGCTGACCAGAGGACCACACTTTGAGAACCACTGATATAGGTGAAAACATTAAGATAGTCTTACAAGGGATTTTACACTAAGTTGTGCTCAAGGAATATACAGAGAAAGAAATGACACAAGAGGCAAGCAGCTCTGGTTCTATTGCCAGCCCTGGGAAAGTCTGACAAGATCAACTTTAAAAAGTAGCTAAAAATATCCTTCAGACAGACATGCAAGAGGATATACAACAATCACTCCTTACCTCTCAGATAACTTCTTTCCTCTCTGAATTGAGTATTTTCATCATCACTGTTTCTGCCAGTGCACCAGGTATCTCTCACTGACTTCTATAAATAGGTCCTCCTTCGGTCCAGCTAACACAACACTACTAAAGGTTATCTTCTCCACCATGACAACTTAAGCTTTTTAAAAGGCTCCAATAGGTTTCCACAACAGGTCATCAAGATCTTTGAAGACTTCCTTAAAGCCTTCTTCACTCATTCTTTCTTTCTCTTATAACTCAATGTTTCAAAATTAATTTTTCTTCTTTCTTAGCTATAATTAGCCTGCTTGTCACTTACCACCTCTATCTGTCACTCCAAGATAACACATAATGGCTTTTCACTGATGACAGCCATTACATTTGGAACCGTTTCCTGCACACTTATGCCCACAGTGAACCCATATGTGCATTTGTTTTAGTAGCTAACTCTCTATACCACCATTTGCTCTTATCTACCTATCTTGTCTACATTGGTTTATCAGTGGTACAAGGCAGAGATATGTTTATTTTAACTTGTCTGATTTTTTTTATATTAAGCCCAGTCCTTAATGTTAATAACATAACACAAAATGGTATTCTGGCAAAAGATAATTAATGGCTCTTGGTACAAATCTCTTTGCTGACATTAACAGTAATCTGTTATCTTGGGCAAGCCTCTTATTCTTCTAACAATGACTCTCCAGTTAAACAATGAGAACGTTTCATGATATGCCTCTAACAGATGTCCCTAATGTTTTCTCCAGTATTCAATTCCTAAGAGTTTATAACCTTTCCCATGCTAATTTTTTAAAACCCCTCTCCATAGTTAGGAAGAACACAGTTCAAATCAGAAAAAGACTTTACTTATAGAGGGCTAAGAGAGGAGAGAAGAACTACAAAGAAACAGAGCTGGAGTCACATGATAGTAGTTTGAATCTTCTCCAGAGGTTAACAGGGGACAGTATTTCAACATAAAGAATAACCAAAGAAGCCAAAATACTAATTTTTATTGTTATAATTCAAGCAATTTTGGGGACAAGAAAAACAAAGATAGGTGGCATGGTATTTTTTTTTTACACACACACAAAAAATTGTGTTTCAAAGTACACTTCTTCATCAAGGCCAGTTCTGTCAGCCAAAACGGCATTGATTCCCTCCCTCTGAGACGTGGGCAGATAAATGTGGGAATGAGAACCGGCCCAGTACTACCACTGGGCACTGGCCACAGACCACACACTGAGATGGTCAGGGAAGAATGTCTCAAGATGACAAACGCTTCCCCAGCTACAAGTCTGGCTGGGAACATTCCCACTGCCCAGTCACTAATTAACAGCTTTCAGCACAAAGATGGACAGTCATGATACGGAATATTTTTTGATTCTAGATAAGTGATGAGCACTAAATAGTGAACAGGGAAGAGATGTCAGAGAGGACATGAAGTTCATTCTCATCTACCTGAACTGTAGCTGTCGGTGGATGACTGTGAGATGGAGCGAGACAAAGACCTTCGGCCAGTCTTGGTAGGGAATTTGGTGAACTCCTGCATGTCATCAGCAAACTGGATTTGCTATAAAAGGAAGACAAAAAGTTGAAAATTTACAGGGGAATTCTAGGAAATGTTCCATTTTTTAAGGTCATACAGTCTTCCCTAAAAGGCAATGTTATCACATGGCTAACTCTCCCACCAGAAATGAGAAAGGGCAGAGGTCACTTTTTGACTTTTCCCAAAATGCCAACCATCGTCTCTTCCCAATAGTTTCAGCAGGATCTGGGGGGAGGAAGTAAGGTTCCCACTCAACTTTAGCATTTGTCCAATTTTACAAAACTTTCTCACATTCCGTGAAGTTTTCTTCCCTCTTATAACCTTCATACATTACACTCCTTTCCCTTCCTCCCAACTCTTTCAGAAAACAGAATCTTGCAGAGCTTCTGAGTTGTTTTTTTCTTCCGGTTTTTGGTTTTGTTTTCAGAATATTCTCATTCTCTTGTAGCACATTCCTGGTGATGGGCATTAGGGTGCTAATCAGAGGCCAACCATATATCTATATTTCACAACCAATGCAGTATCCCCAGAACCTTCTACACCTGGTAAAAATTAAAAATATCAGAATATAATGATAAAGAGAAGTTGAAAAACCCACATGCACCATAGTAAATTATCACTAATTAGGATCTGAATTTGAATTAATTAATTGAATTAATTCAATCCTTGAATTAATTTGAAGGAAGGAGAAAATAATGACTTTGTATTAAGAACTTCCTTAAATGAAATAACAAGATCTAGGCAATCCTTGGAAGGATACTCAGAAAATTAGTTTTAATAAATAGCAAATAGCTTGCAATGAATATTATTTATAGATGAATTAACCAATGCTTCTAAAGTGTATGAAAACCCTTGCTTTTATTACATGCTTTAAAGGTTCCTCCTGAATGCCTATATAAACTCTGATAAACCCTTTCTTCAAAATACAAAATAAACATCACCATCCTGAAGTAAACAGGATGGTTGGAGAACGTGACTGGGATTCTCCTCACACAATGTGACTAAATCTGAAAAGGTGCCCATGGAAAATCCATTAAGCTAAATCTTTAGCAAATATCTCTAGATATGTAACATATTACAGATTAAAATCTTCTCTGATAACACTAGCAACATGGTTATAGCTGCTTTCAATGCAGGAACAGTAAACTACCTATTAGTTACAGCTGCAAAAACCTTCCTACCTCTTTTATGTATACCCTTCAGCTAGGGTAGCACCAGTTTGCAGTATAAGAATCAGGCTTAGGTGTGCAGCCTAGGCATCACAGCTAATGTGAACCAATGAGAAACTGAGTTAGAAGAACCACAGGTAGCAAGGCAGTAATCAAGGGAACACAGGATTGTTTTCATCTTTCTATGTAGCAAGGTTCACACCAAGAATGAAAGCAGAGAACAGCCATGTGTACTACCATTTGAGTAACAGGCCTGACAGAAAGACTTGGGTGTATGTCTATTTAAAACGCATCCTGGCCTGAGCCCGCGGGTTCGAGACCCGCCTGGGCAGCGAGACCTCATCTCTACAATAAATCAAAAAATCAGCTGGGCATGGTAGCGCGCGCCTGTGATTCCGGCTATTCGGAAGGCTGAGGCGGAAGGATCGCCGGAGCCCAGCAGGTCGAGGCTGCGGTGGCCGGGAGCGGCCACTGCACTCCAGTCTGGGTGACAGAGTGAGACTCCAACTCAAAAAAAAAAAAACGCATCCTGGTTCCACATCAAACTGGGTAAATTGGTTTCTTCAGGCCACTCTGTGAAACAAGGAGGAGGCAGAATCCACAGTCTGTTTTATTAAGTCTAAGGACAGATCCTAAAGACATGGAAGGGAAAGCGCTCCACAGCTTGGCACCAAGCCCAGGGTCTTATACAAGCAAGAAGGCATCCAATAAATACCTGTAGAATGAGTGATCCTTTCCAAATCCTTTCTTATGTTTACACACAATTTGGATGTGGTTAAAAAAAGAAAACCTTTCTTGTATAAGATCAAATCAATCAAACTTCAAAGATACTTAAGTAAATAATACTCAAGCTAAACCACATATACTGCCCCAGAACCTGATTAACAAGTATCTGTGCTTATTCAAAGCAGCTGTTTTAGTTCACCTGCTAAAACTTTAATTTTAAATAGCTTAAACATCAAAAGCACAATTGCCTTTCAAACAAACAAACAAACAAACAAAAACCCTCATTGAGGTGGCCACAGGTCAGCATTTGCCCTTTCAGATAGGATTTCCCACTGCATGTTCACATGACTTCTGCAGTCAGGTGAAGCAAGTTTTACTTGAGACTAATCCAGGACCAAGTTGTAATGACTTTCAGCCCAATATGAATTATTTTGGTGGTGGAAAAAATACACAGTCAAGAGACTATAAACACACTTTTTTTTTTTTAGTTGGAGTCTCACTCTGTCGCCCAGACTGGAGTGCAGTGGCCGCTCCTGGCCACCGCAGCCTCGACCTGCTGGGCTCCAGCGATCCTTCCGCCTCAGCCTTCCAAGTAGCTGGAACTACAGGTGCGTGCTACCTACCATGCCCGGCTCATTTTGATTTATTGTAGAGATGAGGTCTTGCCAAGTTGCCCAGGCAGGTCTTGAACCCGCGGGCTCAGGCAATCTACTCACCTTGGCCTCCCAAAGCGCTGGGAATACAGGCTGAGCCACCAAGCCTGGCCTATTCGAGTCAGCCCTTCCTCCACCAGCCTCCTACTGGCATGGACAGCCTATTTGGAAACTGCTCTCCTCTCAAGGCTGTTATGATTTCTCCCCTGTTCATCTTTTTTCAGAAGGTTCTGGGCATGTTCCCAGATACCACCTACATGGAGGGTGAGAGTGGGGGAGTTTTTTTTTTTTTTGCAGTTTTTTAGGTAAAAAATACAGAGGTGGCTATGGCAAGATAGATACATGTTTCTTCAGCAACCTAAGAACTGAATTAATAGTCATAATCTCCCCCTCATATTAATAAAGCTCAGTAGCCTAAAGCTTAACAAAATCTTTCCCATCTAAAAATATTAGACTGTGTTGCAAGCAGCTTACTAATCAGTGCAGTGCCCCTCCCACCCTATTGCTCAGATGATAATGAGGATCCACATTTGATGTGGGCAGAATGCTAACTCAGGCATGGCACGATGGATGGCTGTCTGTTCTTGTAGCTCCCTGCTTAGCAGGTGGCCGGGAATACTAAGACGTGGGATAACCTGGTCTTCTCTTCCACCCCAAACTACATGGGGTACAGAACCTCTAATACAACTGCTACCTGGAATGCGCCTGTCTGGCAGCTTCTTCCAGGCCCAGTCAGTCTCCTCCAGGCCTCCAGCCCTGGCTGTCTGCACAGCTAGAAGCTCTGCTTTCCCCTCAGTGAGTGCCAATCACCTTCACATTGTAAAGAAAGACACTGCTGCGAAAAGCAACTTTTGGATGTCACAAATTTCTTTCCAGTGAAACCAGATCTCAATGACAGTCTTCTGATTGTGTTGGACTCACTACATTTAAGCCAAATATGATAATTTGGGTAAAAATAAAATAAAAAGAATACAAAGTTGTTCTGTTTATATTATTCCTATCAGCAAGATGTCTTCCAATCATTACATCTCAATAGGTGTGCTTTCACATTTCTTCAAATCTTTATCTACCAGGCCTAAATATAGTGTGTGACAGGGAAGAGGAGGAAGGGAAAGGAATCAAGTGGTTGAAGTTCAAAAGGCATCTTGAAGTCAAAAAGTCTTATGTTGAGGACTATTTCATGCTTGGTACTCACCATCCCATAAGCAGCTTTACCCACAACTGAAGAAGCACACCAATGTTCTATTCTTGAGCTAATAGCAACATCTATGAAAGGTTGGAGGGTTTGATTGACCCATTCTTCAAAGAGCATACCCAAATACAGAAGTCTGGTTGCTGGTTTGTTTTTGTTTTTTTTTTTGAGTTGGAGTCTCACTCTATCGCCCAGACTGGAGTGCAGTAACATGCTCCCAGCCACCACAGCCTCGACCTGCTGGACTCTGGCGATCCTTCTGCCTCAGCCTTCCAAATAACTGGAACTACAGGTGTGTGCTACCATGCTTGGCTAATTTTTGATTTATTGTAGAGATGCAGTCTCGCCAAGTTGCCCAGGAGGCAATCCACTCGCCTCGGCCTCCCAAAGTGCTGAGCCACCAAGCCCAGCCTGGTTGCTGTGTTTTAAAAACCCAATTAAGTATCAGGCCAGTTAAATGTATTATTTTAAAGCACCTCTTCAAATAGCTTTCTGGTACAATAGTTGGCCTTCTTCCATGTGATACTGAGAATGGTAAAGAGAAGCTCCATCAGACAAATAATTTGGGGTATGTTACATCCACCATCTTAGTGGTAAGTCTGGTAAGAGTGAGCTGAAAGAATTGCACAGGACTTACCAAGAAAAGGGGATAAGGGGATCACAGGCAATCCAAAAAAGTTATACACTTCAAGAGAAGAAAAGTATTGTATGTTATTTATTTATTTGATCCTAACTGATATATATATATATACACATACTTTTTTTTTTTTAACCATTAGAAGTTGAGTTTACAGCTTAAACAGCTCTGCTACACTCCTTCCCAGGTGCCACCCAATTTTGCCTTCTTAGCTCTTGAATCAGAAAGAATTAAAAGCCACCAGCATTCTTTATCCAAGGGATGGTGATCAGTATAGTATCCATGGTGTACTTTAGCTAGATACCAACTAAGTACCCAGTGCTATACCAAGAAAGTTCTATGCAAGAAAATATGGTTCCTTAAACTCTTTGACATGTTCTGACCCACAGTGTAATGATAATGCAAATGTCTTTGCCATGGAATTTCACTGCTCCTTTAGGAACATGCTAGATACCATAGTCTTCATAGACTTATCTGGATATTGTTTAACTTAGGCCTCCAAAACTCAAAGGTTAGGCTAGACATCTCATTAAATTTGTTATTTCACCTGCTGATCTAACAGCTTTTAATTTCCTCAGAAAGGTTTCCTCCTAAGGGTAAAGAACAAGACTCAAAGGTAAACAGAAATTACAAGGAAAACAAATAATTAAGAAAGTACACCTGAGAAGCAAGTGAAGGGATCAGTCCTTCTTACCGCAGAGGATTAGGTGAAGGGCTAGCATCCCTCTTTTGATGCACTATTGATTTCCTGGACATTCCTACACTTACGCATTCTGGCCCATTGTCCCCTTGGCATACTGTGTGCAGAGACTTTTCTGTTTAGAAATTATGGTCAGCATATTTCTTAGCTAACATTTAGCAACTGAACAGAAAAGTGATTGTAAGAAGTTAGAAATTTTAACAAGGCCAATTTCTAAGCAGTGTGTGTTAGAATACCTTCCAAGATTCCTACATGTTTTCCAATCCTTTTTCCATACATCTTTCTTCCACAGACTACTCTCACCCACTTCTTTTTCAGAGGAAAGGAAGAGGATATGGCAATCAGCCTAAATAGGTACACACCTTTTCTTTTTGTTTTTTGGAAACAGGGTTTCGCCATGTTGCCCAGGCTGGTTGTGGACTGCTCAGCTCAAGCGATCCTCCCGAGTAGCTGGGGCTACAGCCCCATACCAACACACCCAGCTTTTCATGATACTTACCAGTGGTAAATTTGATTCCCATTTCAGAAAAATCCAAAGAAACAGTTATCGGTAAATACCAACTTTGTGGTACAAGAATTATACAAGTCTGAATAGCTTTCACCTCAATTAGGTAAAATAAATTTCCCAAAGAGGAAGGGGATTCTCTTCCCAACACTCTGCCCTCAGACACACCCACCAGAAAACAACTTATCTCAAAAGAATCAACCTCAGGTTAGAGTTGAAGCCACAGCCACCTCCAGTCACTTCTTCCATTCCTTAGTGCAGAAACCAGTCTTCTGAGACTCTGCAGGTTTTGGCTGCTCCCTGCTCTCCTTCCCTGTCTCAAGTTTCTTAAGTTCTCAGTCTCCCCAGATGGGCCTGAGTTTCTGGGGGGAGGGGGTGGGCAGGCTGACTAATCACAGCATGTATCTCCCTCCCCCACTCCGTCGTCTCCGTGTCTCAACAGTAACAGGATATAACATACACACACTGCTAGAATCCAATTCCATAGTCAGAAGAAATACTCCTTTCAAAGTAAGACTCAACTTGATCTTTCGACAAAGCAGTGGGAAGAAGAGATGAGGCAACACCAGGTCCTACACTGCTGAGTCACTTAAAAGGTAAGGAACACAGAGCTTGAAGAACTCTGCCCAAAAGCAGTTTTACCCTTATTATTAATAGCTACTCCACCTCTTCATATGAGACAAAACACTACACTGGCTTCTACTGTCTCTATGGTCTCTAATCAATATGAGTGCTCTACGCCACAAACTGCCGAATAGAGGCAAACTTAGGAGGTTAAAAAAAATGGCATTAAGTAGGACAGAAAAGGGCTTCCCAATCTTTTGACAACCACAATTTACAACGGAATGGAACACATCCAGACCCTGTGTCAATGCCTATTTAGCTATCTATCTGTCCAGCAGCCTAGCCTGTCTATACTTCCCTCATCCTCAATGCCATTACCAGTATTATGTAAAAACATGCCACCACTACTGCCTTTGTCCAACATTGAATTATCACCAATTCTAGATTAAAAAAAAATTAGTACAGGTGACAAAAAGTTTTGGTTTCTGGAACACCCCCATTATTTCAGCAATACACTAAAGTCTCTCCCCACCCCATCCCCAGCACCACTGTACTGCAACATACAATTTTAAATAGTATAATTAAGACCTGTATACTCTCCACCTAGATTGATTCTTTCCATTTTCCAGGTTAGGTTTTTTCACTGTATATAGTCACACATACACATGCATACTTTCACATGGTTCTACAAAAAAAAGAGAAAAAAAGGTTGCAAATGGAACATTCACCAATTCTTCAGAATGCATCTTCTAAGAATAAGGATATGTTCCTACAGAACCATGATGACATATCACACTTGAGAATATTATTAATACTTCCATATAACCAAACATCCAGACTCTATTCAAATTTCCCCAATTTTCTTTTTTTTGAGTTGGAGTCTCACTCTTTTGCCCAGGCTGGAGTGCAGTGTGGCATGCTCACGGCCCCCCCAGCATCAATCTGCTGGGCTCTGGCGATCCTTCTGCCTAAGCCTTCCAAGTAGCTTGAACTACAGGCATGTGTTACCTTGCCCAGCTAAATTTTTGATATAGTGTAGAGATAAGGTCTCACCATGTTGCCCAAGCTGGCCTTGAACCCACGGGCTCAGGCAATTTACTCGCCTCGGTCTCCCAAACTGCTGGGATTACAGGCTGAGTCACGGAGCCCAGCCTAAATTTCCCCAATTTTCTCAAGAATATCTTTTATAGCTGTGGATTCCAATCTCCTTCGGCTTTCCAACCCCACATGGAATCAAGATTCATTGAATACATTTGGTTGTCAGGTTCCTTTAGTCTCTACTCCTCACCACTCGCCATCACCTCTCTTGTGATACTTCTATCTGTTTCATAGAATCTCCCATATCCTGAATTTTTCAGATTATTTCATTCCTATAAACTGAAAGTTCAGTTCTTTTATTTTTTGAGTTGGAGTTTCACTCTGTCACCCAGACTGGAGTGCAGTGGCCGCTCC